AAAAAAAAAAAACACGAGATCTTGATACGTGTTTGGTAAACACGTTTTAATGTGCCCCTAGACGATAAGTGAGCGATTTCGTAGAAACTAAAGGGGGTGTATTCGTTTGGGATTTCGAATACCTTTTAAGACTTTACGAGATTTGAGAGTTTTAGATTTATGAAATCATTAATGTGGAGGTGTAATTTGGGATTTAGAGTGAGATTTCATATATGAGTTTTTTTTTTTCTTGAAATTTCACAAATCTTAAAAACTTTTAACAAGATCTAGTCTCAAATAAGTTAAATACTTCAGATTTTGTAAGACTTTTTTTTAAATTTCAACTGAATACCTAGAGGTTTTCAAAAGTATTAAAAAGTCTTAAATTAAATCCATTGGGATTCTGATGTCTTAAAAAGTGATGGAGAAGAGATGTCGTCTAGCATCATTGATTTAGTTAATTATTTATTTCCTTCGTTTTAATTATTATTAATGGTATTTCAGATTTGTTAAGAAACTTATTTATTTTATTACTTTAATAGAATCTTTGTCTTATTAGACAAGCTAGTAATCTAGGGTTTCGAGGAGTCTTATTCAAGGATTCCACCTCTTTTGTTCTTGGGGGTTAAAGATTGAAAAAATTTACGTATTTACAAAAGAAATCTCTTCTCTTATTTTCCGTTCGTTCGTTGCGCTACATCAGTTGGTATCTAGAGACCGAAACGATTTATGATGTTGCCGCAAAGAAACAATGTTGGCAGACAACAGGTGCGACGCAGCGATCGATGCTATGACTCGCCAAAGCGAGGGATTTGGTCGGCAATTTGAGACAATGGATTGTGAAATTGCAGAACTTTCGGCGGGGATCGACGACATAGGCCTGGCTCATCATACAATTGTTCAGAGTCATCGGTGGAACTGTGCCAGTGTCGGGGGGCGCGGGGGTCGCCGCTAGGACGCACGTGGGGTGCCCCACTCCCGGTCGCCTCCTTAGTGGGTCGAAGACGGTGGCGGTGACACCGCCTCCACGGTATATCTTTTCGGCGTGATGGAGACGCAAGACGAGGACCTATTCACCAATGCTCGTCGTTGGGAGTCATCGTTTTGAGGGGCCTTTGCGGACGCGCAAGGGACAAACGAGTCTAAGGGTCCACCTTATTTTGATAATGAGGGGGCGATCGAATATTCGGTGTCTGTCTCTTTTTGATGACTACGGTGACGACGAAGCCGAAGAGGTCATCGAAATGGCCGCTGACGGCAGCGTCCAGGACGTTGTTGAACATTCAAAGTGTGGTGGCTCTCACGTAATTTCAGATATCTCTTCAACTGGGCTTGATAGTCTGCACCCTCTGCCTTGTGGAGCTTTGGTTTCATATCATTGGCGGTTATGGGCAACCTCAACGACACTTGGGGCGCAACGTCTAATTCCAAATGTGATTGGACAAATATGGGTGTAAGGAGCACTCTAAGATACTCACGATACCTCTGCTTGGGAGAAAAAGTTCCTAAAACAAATGGTTTGATTAAAAAAGTCAGGGCAAATCACGTGGGGCACAAAGTTTGATTCTGATGGACAATGTTGGGCAAAGAAAGGAGAACATAATAGGTGGCTTGGGCAAATTCAACAGAGCCTCATAATCAGTCCACTTAGGCTGCGACATCTAGCAAACTTCTGCGATAGGTGCGTGTGAAGCCCATTGGAGGCCGGAAGTCTTCTTGGTCTCGGCGTATTTCACAGTCGAGCGAAGATGCTATCTCGTTGGTTGGAGACGATATAGTGCCGGATTTGAGGGCGAGTCCTTTTAAGAAACGAGATATCGTCTAGCATCATTGATTTAGTTAATTATTTATTTTCTATGTTTTACTTATTATTAATGATATTTTATATTTGTTAAGAAACATTTGTTTTATTACTTTATTAGAATCCTTGTCTTGTTGGACAAGCTAATAATGTAAAGCTTTGAAGAGTCTAATTTAAGGATTCTTTCTCTTTTGTTCTAGGGGGTTGAAGATTGAATAAAATTTACTATTTGCAAGAGAAATCTCTTCTCTTATTTCCTGTTCGTACGCCGCACTACATCAAAAAGTCTTTAGATATCTCAAACGAATACACCCCTAAAGAATATTTCAAAAGATATTCATGCTTTAAATGGAAATAATTTTGGGCCATTGTGCAGATATAAAAGGAGGCCTTTCAAATCTCATAGTCCATTGCTACAAAAACTAGCCACCAGCTAAAAAAAAAATAAAAAATGGAATAAATTAAGATTCATAAACTCAGAAGCAACATTCCCTAGCTCAGCATGATATTCATAAAATCTCATCCACATGAAAATTAAGATACTTTTTAAAAAAAAAAAAACAAATAAAGGAATAAATTATATTATATTAACTACCTGAAACATATTTCCAATAACTGACGTGCTAGATTAGATATACATACGACTAAATGCAACTTCAGCTCCAAGGTTGATGTATGGGTTTTGTTCGTTTTTCGCCCTTTTCTTTTTTTCTTTCATGGAAATAATGGAACAAATAAAAAGAACCTGGTCAGTCTTGAGCTTTAGTGAAATGGGGCACGAGTAGCTTCGAAACAGTGAAACCATGGAAGGAATCGACTCCAAAGAGTTCTTTCAAATTTTCATCACACAACACCATCCTCTTGTCCGATGGATCCTGAAAAAAAGTACACTAATAAGTCAATTTTTTGGACTGGTGCATTATGGGGATGGTTCTGTTATTGATTCTATGTGATGATCTTTTATTCCCATCAAATATTCAAAAAGGTTAAATTGCAAATGAACTGATTGCTGCAAGATCATGGTCAATTAAAGAAAATTCCAATCGTTGGGAAATGGAGTAAAGAAAAGAAAGGAAAAAAAACTCCGGCTAATTTTGACAGATTGGTCCGTTTTTTGTCAAGAGTAATGAATATATGCACATGCAAATGAATATAAGAGTAATGAATATCTGTTTTGTACTAGCTTCTCCAAGTAAGACGATTTCTGTTTGTCAAAGTCAATAACTATTTCAAATTTCTAATTCAGGACATGTTTTGTGTGTCTTACATGCAAATAATTTTTTAGACTCAAGTATCGACTTCAGCCTCGAAAATAATAAAAGGCTAAAATGCAATTTTAGACATGTTGGTTAACACCATAACAATTTTAGTCCCAATGTTCCAACTTTGCGCCTTATGGTCCCGTGATTTAATATTGTACTGCAGTTTCAGTCATTTGAGGACTTAAATTGCTAATAAAATATCCATGTCAAGGATAAAAGTTCGGGAATTTGTTGCAGCAAAATATTAAATCACAAGACCAAAAGGCGAAATGTTAGAATCTTGAGACTAAAACTGCCATGACGTTAAACGAGCAGGATTAAAAATGCAGTTTGGCCATAATAATATAAGTTCTTTGAAAACCCAAATTGGAGATACCTGGAGTTCGTTCTCTTTTATATACTGCCACATCCTCTTGACAACATCCGTCCGTGACAATTCATCTTCTCCCGTGCCAAGGAAGTTGACCAAAGCATCCGATAAATGTTGGGGTGCAGTTAAACCACCGCCTCCTTTTTTCGGTTTTTCTTTCCTTTTTGGCTCATCCAAAACTGAAATATTATAGGCATAAATAGAAATATGAAACTTTTCTGGATTATATAATAATGCAAAATGCTCAATGAACCCATTTATAATATCCAAGTTAATATAGTTTTTTTTTCTCCGGAAAAGATGTATGCATGCGTTGTATTGAAAGAGTCTAACCTTCTCTGCCTTTTCTGCGTTGCTTGTCCTTCTGGGAAGATTTATTGACTGGAGGCGCTGAGCCATGAATCAGTAAATGATTAAAAAATTCAACATTGAAATAGATGAAATTGGAATGTTATTATTATTATTATTATTATTTTTTATCTGTGCACAATATTTGAGAACATATCTGGCAGTATTTTATAATTTTTTTTTCCCTCCAAAATTGTCCTCTAGCTCCAGATGGAAAGAAAATCGGAATTGTCTAACGCAAGAACTCTATCGTGCAAAAACATTCTTTCGAGTTATATGACGAGTTTAAAGAATATGTCGCTTGAAACAAATTTATGAGGAACTAATCATCTAAAAATGAAGTCTTTGGCTAATAAAAGCATTCACAACAAATAAACACAGGCATAAGAAACAAGTTTTTTGATTGTAGTAGCAGAAAAACTCTACTTGAGATGTATCTTTTCAAAGTAACCATTTTTTTTTTCTTCAACAAGGGCAGATAAAAAGGACTTGAACAAAGTCACGCCAATTGACACGAATGTAAACCCCATCTGAACGCAAAACACATTCTGGAATTTAAACTTCAACTTATCCTTAAATAACGCACCTACAACTTCATCCAGCGGCCAAATGTGCTTGGACAATACTTTATTCATTTGAAACATGTCTATACTCTTCACACGAAAAATCCCATGCAGAGATTCATCACACAAGATTTTTCTTCTATCATTAGGATTCTGCAGATTCTGCTCCCGTATGTGCGCCCAAATTTTCTTCACAACCTAGAAAGCCACACGTGATAATGCTAAGTTTTACGTTCTTTTTTTTTGGAAACAAATTGCCTTACCAGAAAATAATCAATTAATAATCTTCGATATACCTCAGTCCTAGCTAACTGAGCTACCCCAAGGAATTCCTGAAGTTGTGGAGAAAGCAAACATGGCTTGCTGAAGCCCCTTCCTCCCTTCGTCTTTACCTCTGTTGTCTTCATACTGTAGCAAGTCGAAAGACACAATGCATGATTAATTAGCAAAACAAAGAGGATCTTTTATTACATAATAAAACAAACAGCAAATTGGAAAAAGATAGATAAAACTCAAGAGAGAGAGAATACAAATTATATCAGCAGCTACACACGAGTTAATATACTCAAACCGAAATAGCAAATTTAAATCAAAATCCAATTTTTATACTAAACGACACAAGGTTCTTTCGAAAAGTAAACGTATGTGCAATAGTGTAGTTCCCAATTCAACACCAATAAATTGCCGGACAAATGAAGAATCGTCACCATTGGTGTGTCTGTAATTTCCTCAACCGTCCCAAAGATGCAGATAACCACGCATAGAATTAATAATCCACAATCAAGAAACTATCTCCTTACAATAGTAAATTTAAATCAAAATCTCATTCTGAGACTAAAAGACACATCATTGTTTCGAAAAAAATAAACATCTGTGCATTCGTAGTTCCCAAATTAACACCAATAAACATCTGTGCAGGAAATCCAAGAATCAGCAGTTCAACACCACCGGTGTGTCTCAACCGTACCAAAATTCCACATAATCACCCATTGTAATAGTAATAATCCATAACAAAGTAACTGTTTCCTTTCAAAGCACTGAAATTCGGATTGATAAAGCTAATTAGGTCATTAAACCCTAGCCACACACAATGTTCACTTTTTAGGGCTAAAGATTACAACTTTAACACAAAAACTGAAATATAAAAAAAAAAGGGAAAAAAATTCTCAAGCAAAATGGGGAAAATCAATTAATCGAGTACAATTGCAGACAAGATTCTCACCTCTTATTTCTCTTATTACTCCTCTCACCATCGCTCAGCTCCTCTTCCTCTTCTTCATCCTCAGAAATTTCTCCTTCCTGAGAATCCCCATCGCCGCCCTCAACTTCCCCTTGCTGGGCGTTCTCGTCCACTTCCTCCTCCTTCTCGGCGGCGGCGGCGGCGGCGCCGTGGCCGTCCCTTCCCTGGAGGAAGAGGTCGATTTGTTCCCTGATGAAGGCCCTGCGGCCGTAGAGATCGAGGGAGAATTCCTCCTCGAGGCGGCGGCGGACGGAGGCGGCGGTGGCTGTCTCAAGGTCGGAGTCCCGGAGGATCTCGCGGAGGCGGTCAATCAGCGAGGAATCGGATACCATGCTTCGGGTTAGAAGAAATTAGCAGTCACTGCGTGTGCGTGTGTGTGTGTGTGAAAGAGAGAGAGAGAGAGAGAGAGATTTACGTGGTGGGTTAGAGGGGGTTTGCATGCAGGGGAAGAAGAAGAAGAAGAAGAAGAAGAATAGATAAAAGGGGTTTTGAGAAAGCGGAAAAGAAAAGAACAGAATCTCAATTCAAAGGGACCATTGAATTTTTTTTGACAATTTATTGGGTTTTTTTTTTTTTT